GGAGATGAGGAAGAGGGCATCCGCTTCCAATAATCACTCTATCAAATGTGAGCTCTCAAGAGTTAAATTAATGAGCCAATACTACACATCAAATGCGAACAGGATTATAGTTGCAACAACGTGATCTGCTTCACTGAAATGTGGCTAAACTGTAATCAGACTTTGGAACTGTGTGCATTTAATCTGAGCTGTCAGAGATGAGATATAAACAGGAAAGTCAGAAACGAGCAGACCTGTACAAAAAAATCTTCAGACAGTGGATTTAGACAGCTTGCAGTCATGGTGGTGTATGCTTCAGGTCCCTACAGTAAGTTCATATATTGGACACACACAATTCTGTGCAGGAACAATAAACTGATCACCCAGGATTTTTTTTTTTTTGAGACTTCAACATACTGTTTATACTTTCTGATCTTACAACAATATGTTGACTGTCCAACTCGTTCTACAAGGATTCTTGGCTGATATTATGGCAACATTTAAAACAGTTATAATGTGGTATGCAACCCACATTTGTTAGTCTGGAGCCTCTCGAGCGTGTGTTCTTTCATCATTGTTATTTTGTGTTTATGTAAATGACATGTAGCTACATGATACAGCATACTAAATAATAAGATACAATAGTTCTATTGATGTTTTTCATATGCATGTTTTTGTAAGAATGTGGGATAATAACTACCAGTATTTTATTATGACTTAATTTGTGATTTGGTGAAGTTAAGACAATGATCCACTATTTTAGAATATAAAGTAATTCAATTCTAATCAATTCCAATTCCATTCTTAGGCTGCTGGCCCAGATAAGCATAAGAAAATGGATGGAGGAATGTAAACACCTGATGCATAGTTGTGTAGTTTTTGTAAGCGAGTAGTAGGCTACATAAGAACAGCGGCAGTTCCAGAGGTCATGTCTGAACACGAAAAAGGAATTGTCAAGCTAAAACCTGTCAAATGAATCCAGGACCCTGTACACAGTTCAACAAAGCCAGGGTATTTTTTCCTTTATCTGCATCACCCTAACATGCAGGTAACATCTGACCAATCACACTGACTGATGTACCAGCAGTTACTGGATGAGTAAGGATGGAAGAGTAAACTATAATTATAGAAATAATACAAAGATGTTACACGCATAATACAGAATGAATGCAACACAGCTGCTCCAGTTAAATTAATGAGGTTTCAACAGTCACCCACAACACTGAATTTAAACGCTTTGATCTATAAGACCGTGAAAGAGCTACTATATCATACTATATTTAAAAAACTGTCGCTTAGAGTTCACAGAAAACAAACTAAAGTGGCCGCTAACAATTTCCTACTAATCCTCACGGAAAACTACTGGAGAACTTCAAATGCTGTCTGCACAAACAGCTCTGAGGGATCTTCCAGGAATAGTGATGTTTTGTTTTGTTTTTTTCAAAGAACTGACAGGAGAGTGGGCGGTGATTTCACGCCTGTTGATCTCTAGTGTGCACACCTGCCTAACATCAGTGCTGTGCTGATTGGTCCAACAAACTGGATTCAACAGTGCGCGGGACTCCAGCAGCTGTGCTATAAAACAGGTGGATCTGGTTGGGATTAAGTTACCTAAAACACTTCTATAATGCATGTAAGAAGCCTTTTCAAAAAAAAGAACTGAGAAGGACGCAGGTGAGGTGAGAGAAGGCGGAGAAGGATCTGCCTCCTGTTGCTGCTGCAGAGAGATGCACAGAGACAGAGATGGCCACTGGCTTAGATACGAACTCTGGTCGGAGAATCGGAGCGTCTAAAGTGCGGTCAGTGATGTCAGGCAGGACGGTCGCTCTCCTTTTCTTCTCTCCTGTCATTGGGCACTCTGAAGACCGTGCAATATTAAATAAACATTGCCTTATAAAATAAACATAAATAAACATACAAATAATCTCACACAGTCAATAGGCAAAGGCAAAAAAGTAATAAATAAAATTATATACTAAATCTAAACTAAGGCATAAAAATTGAGCTTCACTCTGCCTCTGAGGTTTACTGGTCCATGTACATGTCTATTGGTTTGTGAAAAAAGTGTTTCTTTTAAATATTAATATAATTGAATTAACACAGTATTTTATTTTATTTCTTTTAATATGAAAAATGTTAAGATTCACCAGTTTGCTGCAGAAATCGCTTCCATGTGAAATGGGATGGCAGCATTTGATTAACTTCAGCAGGCTTAAACATGGTATCAGACTAAGTTGACAGTTTATCTGTATATTTTAATACAACGTCTGATTACTGCTGATTTTGTTTTCTGTGTAAAACAAACAGTGGTGGATGGAGCAGCTACAAATTTTGCTTTTCTTCACGTTGGAGTCTGTTGATTAGGGGCTCTGATGAAGGGCTCCCTGTAACTTGTTCCCCAGTAATGGTTTAAAGGATGATCACAAGAACAGCAGTGCTGTATTCTGTCTCGTTTTGCATAGTGCATTAAATGTTAATGGACTCGTCACTGCCCCCAAATGCAGAAGAGCAGTCAGCACCAATGGGAAGTTGATTAAGAAAAAATGCAATTGCAACCAATTTAGATAAGTTCAAAAACATTTTGAAAATAGAGAGAGTAAGCCCCTCAGGAGAACATTGTAACAGAAATACAAGAAACCTCTAACACAGGTTAGGCAAAGAACAATACCAAAGAACTAAAAATCACCAAAATCTAACTGAAACAAAAAATTCACATAATTAAAAACATAAGCACTTGGTCACGAGACTCAGGACAAAGACTATAAACCCCTCAGCTGTATGCAAACACAGGAAACACCGCTGCTGATAAAAGACAGACGGGCGTGGTGTGGTTTCCATATGCTGTATGTATGTGTGTGCGTGTGTGTGTTTGTGTGTGTGTGTGGTTGAGAACTTCCTGCTGCTTAGACAGTTTGTCTCTGCAGAAGTCAGCGTCAGTGTGTTTGCTGGCAGATTAGCCGCTTCTTTCATTTTTCATTCTGCTGTTTTAGCCACACTCGTGAGTATTATTTTTAAATTTTTCGTTTTACTACTTTTATAAAGTGAATACGTATCTGCATTAGTTAGAATTACTCGCTTTTAAAATCAGTAACAGTGTTTTTGCTTTCATTATAAGGGAAGTCAAAATGAAACCTGAGTACTGCTGTTTGTGCCGCTGTAATGCTCGAACACCCACAGTGTCTGTGACTGAACAAAGAGCTGAAGATGTTACATCCTGCCAGTTAATTAATGTGCATTCAAGGAATCCCTCAGTTAAAAAGTTTTTATTCAAGTGAAATAAAAGGCACTAAATAACTTTTAAGTATTTGATCTTACTCATAAGATATCCATTATTTGAAAGTAGTATGAGCTGCACTTCTGAACGTGTTTAGAGTAGTTCAGAATACTACATATGCATTATTGATACGAAACTATTTCTGTCATTCAAAACCATTAAAATGTTCCACGCTGCATAAGCAATATTTTTACTTTTGCTACATTGAGCTAACTCGAGCCGGGCCTTTCAGTGTGAGGTTTGAATGTTCTCCATTTGCCTTTGAGTGTGACTTGTAGTTAAAAGCACTTTGAGAGATCAGTAACACTAGTAAGGTGAAAAAAGCAATACATCAAAGTAACAACATTATAGTTGCACCCATGAGCTAATAAATAATGTACAGAAAGACCAACTAGAATCCATTTATTCTGAGCAGGACCCAACCACACACGACCTCCTCACACTGCTTTGAAGGCCCAGACTAGTTTGGAATAAGTGATTTTATGTTTTAGTTAATGTTGTAGTTTGAAAACGGTAGTTCAGATGAAGTTTTTTAGATATAGCAGTGAGAATACAGTTTAACAGTCATCACATATTGTATAATAATAATAGGCTTTCATGTTTTAGCTACATTGGACACGATACTGTGTGATAGTAGAATTTCTTTTTCAAAAACAAGTGTAAAACCTAAAAATATATTATCCCTGCTCTCTGAATTTACTTACTTTTAAAAATGTTACTGTAATGAGAAACCGCATTAGAGGAACTGGAGTGCCAGGAACTTCTCCATTTTCAATTCCAGATGTTGCTCCTGTGCTGTTAAGTAGAGGCCTTCACCTGGGAAGTTGTAGCTTGAAAGTCATCAGTGACTTATTTTAGTATATTCATGATGCAAAATAACCAACCACAGTTTTTTCAGTGTTTAAGTTTTAGTTTCTCTTTCTTCCCTTTGCTTTGGTTTCTTCTTTTTTCTGCCACGCTTCTCCATTTTCTTCCTCTGTTTTGATTCAGCAGACGTTTGAACAACTCATCACACACTGTGTGTTGGTCGTCTAAAACAGAGTTGATCTCTTGCAGAATCAAGTCAGAATGAAGATAGCAGCCTTTAATGGCAAGAACCTGGGACATAAGAAAGTCCATGACAAGTCTGTCATCAAACACCTCACCAAGGTGATAATAATTTTACCTTTACAACAGAAAGCTTTAAATCCAACACCAATGACGAAATGTGTAACACTTAAATGATGTGTTTCCTCCAGATCATATCTCGGTACAGTGTGATTGTCCTGCTGGAGGTGGTGGATAAGAGCGGCAAAGCCATGGAAACGTTACTTCAAGAACTCAACAAAACTGTGTGAGTTCCCTGCAGTGATAGTGTGTGTATTTAATTATTTTATTTATAATATTTTATGTAGAAAACTGCATGTTTAAGTTGCTTCTGTTTTCCTCAGCACTAACAGAAAACGCCCCTACAAAAAAACTGCCAGCAAACAACTGGGACGAGACACCTACAAGGAGCAATATGTCTGTTTCTACAGGTGTGTGAGTCTAAGTTCACTCGAATACAACATCTCAGTGGTTATTAATCAGACTTTAATTTGTGAGATTCATGGCCAGACACACTGATGTCTGACTATTTGTGTTTATCTCTCAGACCAGATGAAGTGACGCTGAAGGATTCACACCAGTATGAAGATAATCAGGCTGGAGATGAAGATGCCTTTGCCAGAGAGCCCTTCATCCTGCGGTTTGATTGTCCAACTACAGGTTTGTGCTTTTTACTGTGTTTGAGTAACGCTTTAGGTTACAAAACAAAACAAGTGGAAGTGCCAACCACCCTGAGATCTGTGTATTGGCTCAGCAAAGGGGAAAGAATCACAGCTCACAATCATTTCTAATTTTCTTAGTGTATTTGCTGTGATCAGCTGACCTGCTGCTCTTTGTGGATTTACAGAACTGAATTCAATAAGATGTACACAGTTTGACAAGCTATAATGGCTGATGTCTATCCCCTGCATTGACACTACACTGTTTATTATCTTTACACTAGACAGAATACAGCTGGTATAAAGTCAGAATTTAGTGAATGGATCTAAACATCATCAGTTTAACTTTCACCTAAATCTGACCACGAGCACTACAGTCACTGTGCACCAGTACAACACAGAGCTTTGCTGTGAATCCACATTAACTCAACCTAACCTTATTATCCTGGACAAAGCTGCTGTTACGACCCGGCCTCGGGGCGACGTTCCATCTAAGCTGCGCGCGTGCGCAATCGTTGCGTACAAAAAAATCTAACCGGAACTAAAATGTAAATAAATAAGTTAAAATTCATGTTGTTTCGCAGTGTGAGTCAGTGAGTGACCGGTGACTGGCTGCTCCAGCCAATGATGCGATTCACATTCGTATATACGCAGCTAATCAACGTCGACAGGCTATGACAGCGTCCTTGTGTGCCGACACCGGTGTTTTAGTTGGCAAAGCGGCTGATGTGGAGTGAAGCCACGTTAATGACAACGTGTACAACCATTGGAGATGTGAGCAGGACAGACGGAACAACTGACGGGAAAAGTGTGGACTTTATACCAGTTTCTAAATTGTGTTGATCGGCCACGTAAAACCAGAGTTATGATAAAAATATCTGCAATGTTTGGTTTTCTTCCTGAATACTGTCGTTGTTCATTTTTACTGCGGGAAGAAACGGTAAAAGCAGCGTTTTATAAGTTTTATGGAGGGGCGGGTTAAAGTGAGAGTGCAGTTTTACTTAGTCCAAGTACAAAACATAAAGCTGATGTAACGCACATAGGTTTATAGCTATTGCTACTTTTCACCAATCGTCCCTTAGTTTTAGGAGTCACAGCGGTGTTTTGAGATGTGAGAGATTCGCGACGTTTTGTGTTTGGAGTCTAAAGTTAGTGTGTTGTCTTGTGTAGTTAGTGTGTAGTGTAGTCAGTATTTTTGTTGTGTGTGTCAGAACAATGAGGCGACTGCTGAATGTTAGAGGTGTAACAGGAGTGATACATCTGCTGCTGTCAGGCCTGCAGGTATCAGGCTGTTGTTCTCCTTCATCTCATAGTGGACACAAATTATTTTTTGGAGCGGCACAAATAATTTGTGTGGCATCAGATTTGATGCAGAACAGCTGATCGTTCTGTAAATAGTTTGAAATGTTTATTTAAAACTGCCTTGGCTGCATTTTTAGGTAAACAGCTGAAAAAAACTTTGTTGTTTGCAAAACTCAGTAACTTTTAATTAACTATATAAATAATTGCCCAACATTGGTCATTATATCCTGTATTTTGCAGACAGAGAGTTACAGGACTCTCTCCCAGACCACAGACTCATAATACAAGTCAGAGCTTTATAAAAAAAACTATTTTACTTTTACTTTATTACTTTATTTTTACTTCCAATGGTGTTAACATACTACACAGGTCGTGAACAAGATTCTTTCACAGTTTCATTGTAATTGGGCTAAAGCAGTTAATTAAAAGTAATCTAACATAAATGCAAACGCTGTAATTTGATTATTTTAATAAACATGTCATACAGAAATGAAAGAGAACATATTTTGTTCATTTGTTTGTTTGTTTCTACACGAGCTTTGTGTGATTTGTAAGTATCTGAGGCTGAGACCACAGGACTGTAAAACATGATTGTTGTGTAATCATGTTTTACAATATAACAGGACACCGGAGTAAATTCTCGAGCATCTCACACTTCTGATAATCAGCTGTCTGCTTGATGTTTATTCAGCTGTGTAAAAACTATAACTTTATTTAGTGCCCAATAAACACAGGTTATACCCTGTATTAGCCGTTTCTGTCCTTTAGATTCTTACTTCATATTTTTCACACTAACAACCTTGGCAGTGTAGTCAAACAGAGGGAGCCTGTTACCTGAGCCTGACAGTGATGCCTGATAGTGTAGCACTCCACCTTCTCATCTAAATATAAAAAAAACTGTATTTCAGTTGTGGACGATCTGGTCCTGATCCCAGTCCACACAAAGCCAGAGGACTCTCTGAAGGAGCTGGACGAGCTGCATGATGTAGTTGAAGACATCAGGAAGAAATGGAAAACTGATGTAAGTTTTATGTTTTGATTAAAAAATTCAGACCAATTCAGTTGTATTTGTATAGAGCCAATTCAACACAACAGTTGTTTCAAGGGGCGTTATAGTAAATTAAAAAAAATGCATGATGACCCACTCCACCCTGCCTTTCCCCCAGCCTGCTTGTGTCACAGTTAGTTTCTGCAATAAAGAGAGGGTTTGGCTTATTTCAAATAAGCAACCAGTGATTATACTGACTACATACCTTATAGTAAGGTTAAGTTCTTGACTATGCGGCCTGGTGTGTGACACGTATGACCATGAAATTACCTGGGATTTGTTGCCTTTTAGAATATTTGTAGAATATAGCTGAATATTTTCTCTTACAGCAGAAATCTTCAAGCTGAAATACTACAATACTACAATATCTTTCTAAAACTAAACAATTACTTTTAGTTCCTAAACCTAACCAAGCAGCGAATAAACAACAAACTGTGAACTAAGCTCCAAAACAGGACACAGATCAAACTCCCTTCATTCAGAATCTTAATAAATAACTTTATCTGACCTTTGTTTTAAAGCAGATCCTGAATATCTCACCTTGTTAATCCATATAGTGACTCAGATTATAATATAGTTTTAACTACTTGATTTTGTCATCCTTTAGACAGACCGATAAGGAAGGATGTCTTCAAGCTGCTTTGCTCATTAACAAATGAAAAGAAAACTTTAAAAACACAAGTGCATAAATCTTTGTATCCTACAGTGAAGTGATGCTCAATAAATAACAGCTCTTCACGGGATCGCATAATAATGAATATATCCTACCATATAAATCTCTGTGCTGTTATTTAAAGAATACATTAATACCATTAGACATTAGAGTGTCACATACTGGCTGTAACAAACATCTGTCATTGTACTAAGTGAGTTCTGCTCTCTTTTGGCATTTTTTGGCAGAATATAATGCTTTTGGGGGACTTTAATGCTGATGGACGATATCTCTCCAAGAAGAAGAAGGAAAAGATTCGCATCTGCTCTTCTTCCTACAACTGGCTCATTGATGACAATGTCGACACCACAGCTAGCAACAAAAATGATAACACCTACGACAGGTGACACACAAATAGCACTTTAAAAATCTTTATATAATCACTATATAATGGCACGACCTTTTGGGATATTTCTAATTTCTTGTCACGGTCTGGCTGGCAGACCGTGGGGATATGGGGGAATGAGGACCCAAAACGCATGGTTCTGCGATGCAAACAGTGCACTTTATTTACAGTGAAGGTAACAGATGCACAATAAATCCCCTTTGCTCCCTAGACTCCCATGTGTGTGTTCCCCTCCGACGTCCGTGCTCGTGCTCCCGGCAGTTGTGTTTCTGCACACCCTGTGCGTGCTGCCCTTCTGGTCCCTCGTTCCACCTGCAGGACAATACAGAAGCAGCCGTTAAACACTGAACCCGCGCGCACACACGATCCGCACTTCCTAATACTACACACTGACTTGGAGTCTTAGCTTAATGATCCCGCACCGGTGGGAGCTCCAACACTCTCCTAAGTAGCTCCCCCGACGAGCCCTGATCACCAACAGGTGTGTGGCAGGAACTTCAGGTGTGGCCAGTCCTCCTGCAGGGCCACACCCATCAGGCCTGCATGTGGCTGTTCTCCATCCTCCAGCCACACATGTACACACCCTGCCTCTACATATGAGTGGAACACCGAACACAGCATAGTGCAGAAAAACACACATCCCCAAATAACAACAACAACACTAATAATAATAATAATAATAATAATAATAATAATAATAATAATAATTCCATCCTGCTCACGGACCCCCGAGTCCTCCAGAGCCGGTCCGTGACATTTCTATTTCTTTGCTTCTGGTGTTTTGCAAAATTGTGCATAATGACCAAAAGGAAATAAGAGTTAGTTGTTATTTGTTTGTTAGAATTTGTCTGTTTTGTCTGTATTGAGAACGTGCACATGAGGCTGGATGACTCACGAACTCTGATTAAATCTACCTGTGTGTACGTTAAATTTGTGTGAAAAAAGTGCAGGAATTCAGGAAATAAATCAGTATAGCTGTAGTGGAGGCATGTAGTCTCAGACTCTTAATATTTTAAAGATTTTTTTCTCACAGTGCCTCTCACATAATAATATTGGCATCAGTGAATTTCGATTTGAGACAGAAAATGGAGAAATAAAACTATTGGCGCTTCACGCTATAAAGTAGACAGACAGAAATGAAGTTCTTAACTGTTTGAAAGAAATGCGTCTCCTCTTTGTCAAACAGAATTGTTGTGTATGGACAGACCATGCTGAACGCCATCGTCCCCAACTCGGCCAAGTCCTTCAACTTCCAGCAGGAGTTTGACCTGACCGATGAGGAGGTGAGTTTTTTCTAAGCTCAAGATACAAATGATTTGACAGGTTTTAGCATTTTAAAGGACACCATGAGTGTTGTCATTCAACTTTTCAAGGCCCTGGGCATCAGTGACCATTACCCTGTGGAGGTGGAGCTGAAGACCAAAGATGCGTCTGGGGAAGGACAATCTAAGAAAAAAGGTTATTATTTTTTATCTCTGACTCTTACTGTATTACTCTTACTATATATTTGACAGCAGGAATGGAGATTGATAAGAATTTAGTGATTCTGATGCATTTATCGATATCATTGAGTTCTCATTGGCTCCGCTTTAAGGGTCACCACCGTCTCTAAATGAATATATTTGTGCAAATTAATTACATGCTGTGTGGTCAAAGGTTACATGCTGACCTCAATGCTATGATCAGCATTGAGGTCATAACTCAAAAGAGTAACATATTACACATATTACACAGAACACTCTTATTAAAAGTAATGCAGTACATTACTACCATTACTTCCAGGAGAAACTAAGTACTTATACTACACATTACATTTCTTTTTCTCTATAAAATTACCTTAAACAAAATGTCTCATAAATACCACATACAGTGGGATGCAAAAGTTTGGCAACCTTGTTAATAGTCATTATTTTCCTTTATAAATCGTTGGTTGTTACAATAAAAAATGTCAGTTAAATATATCATATAGGAGACACACACAGTGATATTTGAGAAGTGGTAAGCTCACTGTAACAGGATAAACCCGAGGCTACAATCCCACGAACCAGCATGAATCCCTATCCTAATGAGGACGCACATACAGTGCTGGTATTTGGTTTTTAGGTATGAACACAAGGCCTGTAACACAAAGCAAAGATGAAAACCAGACCAAAGACACTTTAAAACAATCGCCACGTGAGTCTACTGTAGAAACATGAACCAGGAGAAGTGGAAGCGACATCCTGACTACTCGTCACTGCTTTTGTTACCTGTGGCAGATCAGGGACTGGCTATTGGGCTGGGATCGGCATTCAGTCAGCTTTAACATCACTCTATTGAACACTTTTTATGATTTTCAAACTCACCCCAACCGGTCGCAGCAGATGCCCCCGCCCCTCCCTGAGCCTGGTTCTGCCGGAGGTTTCTTCCTGTTAAAAGGGAGTTTTTCCTTCCCAAGAGAGAGACTTCAACATACTGTTTATACTTTCTGATCTTACAACAATATGTTGACTGTCCAACTCGTTCTACAAGGATTCTTGGCTGATATTATGGCAACATTTAAAACAGTTATAATGTGGTATGCAACCCACATTTGTTAGTCTGGAGCCTCTCGAGCGTGTGTTCTTTCATCATTGTTATTTTGTGTTTATGTAAATGACATGTAGCTACATGATACAGCATACTAAATAATAAGATACAATAGTTCTATTGATGTTTTTCATATGCATGTTTTTGTAAGAATGTGGGATAATAACTACCAGTATTTTATTATGACTTAATTTGTGATTTGGTGAAGTTAAGACAATGATCCACTATTTTAGAATATAAAGTAATTCAATTCTAATCAATTCCAATTCCATTCTTAGGCTGCTGGCCCAGATAAATAAGAGGAAAGTAAACACTTGATGCATAGTTGTGTAGTTTTTGTAAGCGAGTAGTAGGCTACATAAGAACAGCGGCAGTTCCAGAGGTCATGTCTGAACACGAAAAAGGAATTGTCAAGCTAAAACCTGTCAAATGAATCCAGGACCCTGTACACAGTTCAACAAAGCCAGGGTATTTTTTCCTTTATCTGCATCACCCTAACATGCAGGTAACATCTGACCAATCACACTGACTGATGTACCAGCAGTTACTGGATGAGTAAGGATGGAAGAGTAAACTATAATTATAGAAATAATACAAAGATGTTACACGCATAATACAGAATGAATGCAACACAGCTGCTCCAGTTAAATTAATGAGGTTTCAACAGTCACCCACAACACTGAATTTAAACGCTTTGATCTATAAGACCGTGAAAGAGCTACTATATCATACTATATTTAAAAAACTGTCGCTTAGAGTTCACAGAAAACAAACTAAAGTGGCCGCTAACAATTTCCTACTAATCCTCACGGAAAACTACTGGAGAACTTCAAATGCTGTCTGCACAAACAGCTCTGAGGGATCTTCCAGGAATAGTGATGTTTTGTTTTGTTTTTTTCAAAGAACTGACAGGAGAGTGGGCGGTGATTTCACGCCTGTTGATCTCTAGTGTGCACACCTGCCTAACATCAGTGCTGTGCTGATTGGTCCAACAAACTGGATTCAACAGTGCGCGGGACTCCAGCAGCTGTGCTATAAAACAGGTGGATCTGGTTGGGATTAAGTTACCTAAAACACTTCTATAATGGATGTAAGAAGCCTTTTTAAAAAAAAGAACTGAGAAGGACGCAGGTGAGGTGAGAGAAGGCGGAGAAGGATCTGCCTCCTGTTGCTGCTGCAGAGAGATGCACAGAGACAGAGATGGCCACTGGCTTAGATACGAACTCTGGTCGGAGAATCGGAGCGTCTAAAGTGCGGTCAGTGATGTCAGGCAGGACGGTCGCTCTCCTTTTCTTCTCTCCTGTTATTGGGCACTCTGAAGACCGTGCAATATTAAATAAACATTGCCTTATAAAATAAACATAAATAAACATACAAATAATCTCACACAGTCAATAGGCAAAGGCAAAAAAGTAATAAATAAAATTATATACTAAATCTAAACTAAGGCATAAAAATTGAGCTTCACTCTGCCTCTGAGGTTTACTGGTCCATGTACATGTCTATTGGTTTGTGAAAAAAGTGTTTCTTTTAAATATTAATATAATTGAATTAACACAGTATTTTATTTTATTTCTTTTAATATGAAAAATGTTAAGATTCACCAGTTTGCTGCAGAAATCGCTTCCATGTGAAATGGGATGGCAGCATTTGATTAACTTCAGCAGGCTTAAACATGGTATCAGACTAAGTTGACAGTTTATCTGTATATTTTAATACAACGTCTGATTACTGCTGATTTTGTTTTCTGTGTAAAACAAACAGTGGTGGATGGAGCAGCTACAAATTTTGCTTTTCTTCACGTTGGAGCCTGTTGATTAGGGGCTCTGATGAAGGGCTCCCTGTAACTTGTTCCCCAGTAATGGTTTAAAGGATGATCACAAGAACAGCAGTGCTGTATTCTGTCTCGTTTTGCATAGTGCATTAAATGTTAATGGACTCGTCACTGCCCCCAAATGCAGAAGAGCAGTCAGCACCAATGGGAAGTTGATTAAGAAAAAATGCAATTGCAACCAATTTAGATAAGTTCAAAAACATTTTGAAAATAGAGAGAGTAAGCCCCTCAGGAGAACATTGTAACAGAAATACAAGAAACCTCTAACACAGGTTAGGCAAAGAACAATACCAAAGAACTAAAAATCACCAAAATCTAACTGAAACAAAAAATTCACATAATTAAAAACATAAGCACTTGGTCACGAGACTCAGGACAAAGACTATAAACCCCTCAGCTGTATGCAAACACAGGAAACACCGCTGCTGATAAAAGACAGACGGGCGTGGTGTGGTTTCCATATGCTGTATGTATGTGTGTGCGTGTGTGTGTTTGTGTGTGTGTGTGGTTGAGAACTTCCTGCTGCTTAGACAGTTTGTCTCTGCAGAAGTCAGCGTCAGTGTGTTTGCTGGCAGATTAGCCGCTTCTTTCATTTTTCATTCTGCTGTTTTAGCCACACTCGTGAGTATTATTTTTAAATTTTTCGTTTTACTACTTTTATAAAGTGAATACGTATCTGCATTAGTTAGAATTACTCGCTTTTAAAATCAGTAACAGTGTTTTTGCTTTCATTATAAGGGAAGTCAAAATGAAACCTGAGTACTGCTGTTTGTGCCGCTGTAATGCTCGAACACCCACAGTGTCTGTGACTGAACAAAGAGCTGAAGATGTTACATCCTGCCAGTTAATTAATGTGCATTCAAGGAATCCCTCAGTTAAAAAGTTTTTATTCAAGTGAAATAAAAGGCACTAAATAACTTTTAAGTATTTGATCTTACTCATAAGATATCCATTATTTGAAAGTAGTATGAGCTGCACTTCTGAACGTGTTTAGAGTAGTTCAGAATACTACATATGCATTATTGATACGAAACTATTTCTGTCATTCAAAACCATTAAAATGTTCCACGCTGCATAAGCAATATTTTTACTTTTGCTACATTGAGCTAACTCGAGCCGGGCCTTTCAGTGTGAGGTTTGAATGTTCTCCATTTGCCTTTGAGTGTGACTTGTAGTTAAAAGCACTTTGAGAGATCAGTAACACTAGTAAGGTGAAAAAAGCAATACATCAAAGTAACAACATTATAGTTGCACCCATGAGCTAATAAATAATGTACAGAAAGACCAACTAGAATCCATTTATTCTGAGCAGGACCCAACCACACACGACCTCCTCACACTGCTTTGAAGGCCCAGACTAGTTTGGAATAAGTGATTTTATGTTTTAGTTAATGTTGTAGTTTGAAAACGGTAGTTCAGATGAAGTTTTTTAGATATAGCAGTGAGAATACAGTTTAACAGTCATCACATATTGTATAATAATAATAGGCTTTCATGTTTTAGCTACATTGGACACGATACTGTGTGATAGTAGAATTTCTTTTTCAAAAACAAGTGTAAAACCTAAAAATATATTATCCCTGCTCTCTGAATTTACTTACTTTTAAAAATGTTACTGTAATGAGAAACCGCATTAGAGGAACTGGAGTGCCAGGAACTTCTCCATTTTCAATTCCAGATGTTGCTCCTGTGCTGTTAAGTAGAGGCCTTCACCTGGGAAGTTGTAGCTTGAAAGTCATCAGTGACTTATTTTAGTATATTCATGATGCAAAATAACCAACCACAGTTTTTTCAGTGTTTAAGTTTTAGTTTCTCTTTCTTCCCTTTGCTTTGGTTTCTTCTTTTTTCTGCCACGCTTCTCCATTTTCTTCCTCTGTTTTGATTCAGCAGACGTTTGAACAATTCATCACACACTGTGTGTTGGTCGTCTAAAACAGAGTTGATCTCTTGCAGAATCAAGTCAGAATGAAGATAGCAGCCTTTAATGGCAAGAACCTGGGACATAAGAAAGTCCATGACAAGTCTGTCATCAAACACCTCACCAAGGTGATAATAATTTTACCTTTACAACAGAAAGCTTTAAATACAACACCAATGACGAAATGTGTAACACTTAAATGATGTGTTTCCTCCAGATCATATCTCGGTACAGTGTGATTGTCCTGCTGGAGGTGGTGGATAAGAGCGGCAAAGCCATGGAAACGTTACTTCAAGAACTCAACAAAACTGTGTGAGTTCCCTGCAGTGATAGTGTGTGTATTTAATTATTTTATTTATAATATTTTATGTAGAAAACTGCATGTTTAAGTTGCTTCTGTTTTCCTCAGCACTAACAGAAAACGCCCCTACAAAAAAACTGCCAGCAAACAACTGGGACGAGACACCTACAAGGAGCAATATGTCTGTTTCTACAGGTGTGTGAGTCTAAGTTCACTCGAATACAACATCTCAGTGGTTATTAATCAGACTTTAATTTGTGAGATTCATGGCCAGACACACTGATGTCTGACTATTTGTGTTTATCTCTCAGACCAGATGAAGTGACGCTGAAGGATTCACACCAGTATGAAGATAATCAGGCTGGAGATGAAGATGCCTTTGCCAGAGAGCCCTTCATCCTGCGGTTTGATTGTCCAACTACAGGTTTGTGCTTTTTACTGTGTTTGAGTAACGCTTTAGGTTACAAAACAAAACAAGTGGAAGTGCCAACCACCCTGAGATCTGTGTATTGGCTCAGCAAAGGGGAAAGAATCACAGCTCACAATCATTTCTAATTTTCTTAGTGTATTTGCTGTGATCAGCTGACCTGCTGCTCTTTGTGGATTTACAGAACTGAATTCAATAAGATGTACACAGTTTGACAAGCTATAATGGCTGATGTCTATCCCCTGCATTGACACTACACTGTTTATTATCTTTACACTAGACAGAATACAGCTGGTATAAAGTCAGAATTTAGTGAATGGATCTAAACATCATCAGTTTAAGTTTCACCTAAATCTGACCACGAGCACTACAGTCACTGTGCACCAGTACAACACAGAGCTTTGCTGTGAATCCACATTAACTCAACCTAACCTTATTATCCTGGACAAAGCTGCTGTTACGACCCGGCCTCGGGGCGACGTTCCATCTAAGCTGCGCGTGCGCAATCGTTGCGTACAAAAAAATCTAACCGGAACTAAAATGTAAATAAATAAGTTAAAATTCATGTTGTTTCGCAGTGTGAGTCAGTGAGTGACCGGTGACTGGCTGCTCCAGCCAATGATGCGATTCACATTCGTATATACGCAGCTAATCAACGTCGTGACAGGCTATGACAGCGTCCTTATGTGCCGACACCGGTGTTTTAGCAAAGCGGCTGATGTGGAGTGAAGCCACGTTAATGACAACGTGTACAACCATTGGAGATGTGAGCAGGACAGACGGAACAACTGACGGGAAAAAGTGTGGACTTTATACCAGTTTTTAAATTGTGTTGATCGGCCACGTAAACCAGAGTTATGATAAAAATATCTGCAATGTTTGGTTTTCTTCCTGAATACTGTCGTTGTTTATATTTACTGCGGGAAGAAACGGTAAAAGCAGCGTTTTATAAGTTTTATGGAGGGGCGGGTTAAAGTGAGAGTGCAGTTTTACTTAGTCCAAGTACAAAACATAAAGCTGATGTAACGCACATAGGTTTATAGCTATTGCTACTTTTCACCAATCGTCCCTTAGTTTTAGGAGTCACAGCGGTGTTTTGAGATGTGAGAGATTCGCGACGTTTTGTGTTTGGAGTCTAAAGTTAGTGTGTTGTCTTGTGTAGTTAGTGTGTAGTGTAGTCAGTATTTTTGTTGTGTGTGTCAGAACAATGAGGCGACTGCTGAATGTTAGAGGTGTAACAGGAGTGATACATCTGCTGCTGTCAGGCCTGCAGGTATCAGGCTGTTGTTCTCCTTTATCTCATAGTGGACAGAAATTATTTTTTGGAGTGGCACAAATAATTTGTGTGGCATCAGATTTGATGCAGAACAGCTGATTGTTCTGTAAATAGTTTGAAATGTTTATTTAAAAATGCCTTGGCTGCATTTTTAGGTAAACAGCTGCAAAAAACTTTGTTGTTTGCAAACTCAGTTACTTTATAACTAATATAATTAATTGCCCAACATTGGTCATTATACCTGTATTTTGCAGACAGAGAGTTACAGGACTCTCTCCCAGACCACAGACTCATAATACAAGTCAGAGCTTATATAAAAAAAAAAAATTTTACTTTTACTTTATTACTTTATTTTTACTTCCAATGGTGTTAACATACTACACAGGTCGTGAACAAGATTCTTTCACAGTTTCATTGTAATTGGGCTAAAGCAGTTAATTAAAAGTAATCTAACATAAATGCAAACGCTGTAATTTGATTATTTTAATAAACATGTCATACAGAAATGAAAGAGAACATATTTTGTTCATTTGTTTGTTTGTTTCTACACGAGCTTTGTGTGATTTGTAAGTATCTGAGGCTGAGACCACAGGACTGTAAAACATGATTGTTGTGTAATCATGTTTTACAATATAACAGGACACCGGAGTAAATTCTCGAGCATCTCACACTTCTGATAATCAGCTGTCTGCTTGATGTTTATTCAGCTGTGTAAAAACTATAACTTTATTTAGTGCCCAATAAACACAGGTTATACCCTGTATTAGCCGTTTCTGTCCTTTAGATTCTTACTTCATATTTTTCACACTAACAACCTTGGCAGTGTAGTCAAACAGAGGGAGCCTGTTACCTGAGCCTGACAGTGATGCCTGATAGTGTAGCACTCCACCTTCTCATCTAAATATAAAAAACTGTATTTCAGTTGTGGACGATCTGGTCCTGATCCCAGTCCACACAAAGCCAGAGGACTCTCTGAAGGAGCTGGACGAGCTGCATGATGTAGTTGAAGACATCAGGAAGAAATGGAAAACTGATGTAAGTTTTATGTTTTGATTAAAAAATTCAGACCAATTCAGTTGTATTTGTATAGAGCCAATTCAACACAACAGTTGTTTCAAGGGGCGTTATAGTAAATTTAAAAAAATGCATGATGACCCACTCCACCCTGCCTTTCCCCCAGCCTGCTTGTGTCACAGTTTGTTTCTGCAATAAAGAGAGGGTTTGGCTTATTTCAAATAAGCAACACTAGCAACACCTGGCCAGGTGTTGCAGTGATTATACTGACTACATACCTTATAGTAAGGTTAAGTTCTTGACTATGCGGCCTGGTGTGTGACACGTATGACCATGAAATTACCTGGGATTTGTTGCCTTTTAGAATATTTGTAGAATATAGCTGAATATTTTCTCTTACAGCAGAAATCTTCAAGCTGAAATACTACAATACTACAATATCTTTCTAAAACTAAACAATTACTTTTAGTTCCTAAACCTAACCAAGCAGCGAATAAACAACAAACTGTGAACTAAGCTCCAAAACAGGACACAGATCAAACTCCCTTCATTCAGAATCTTAATAAATAACTTTATCTGACCTTTGTTTTAAAGCAGATCCTGAATATCTCACCTTGTTAATCCATATAGTGACTCAGATTATAATATAGTTTTAACTACTTGATTTTGTCATCCTTTAGACAGACCGATAAGGAAGGATGTCTTCAAGCTGCTTTGCTCATTAACAAATGAAAAGGAAACTTTAAAAACACAAGTGCATAAATCTTTGTATCCTACAGTGAAGTGATGCTCAATAAATAACAGCTCTTCACGGGATCGCATAATAATGAATATATCCTACCATATAAATCTCTGTGCTGTTATTTAAAGAATACATTAATACCATTAGACATTAGAGTGTCACATACTGGCTGTAACAAACATCTGTCATTGTACTAAGTGAGTTCTGCTCTCTTTTGGCATTTTTTGGCAGAATATAATGCTTTTGGGGGACTTTAATGCTGATGGACGATATCTCTCCAAGAAGAAGAAGGAAAAGATTCGCATCTGCTCTTCTTCCTACAACTGGCTCATTGATGACAATGTCGACACCACAGCTAGCAACAAAAATGATAACACCTACGACAGGTGACACACATATAGCACTTTAAAAATCTTTATATAATCACTATATAATGGCACGACCTTTTGGGATATTTCTAATTTCTTGTCACGGTCTGGCTGGCAGACCGTGGGGATATGGGGGAATGAGGACCCAAAACGCATGGTTCTGCGATGCAAACAGTGCACTTTATTTACAGTGAAGGTAACAGATGCACAATAAATCCCCTTTGCTCCCTAGACTCCCATGTGTGTGTTCCCCTCCGACGTCCGTGCTCGTGCTCCCGGCAGTTGTGTTTCTGCACACCCTGTGCGTGCTGCCCTTCTGGTCCCTCGTTCCACCTGCAGGACAATACAGAAGCAGCCGTTAAACACTGAACCCGCGCGCACACACGATCCGCACTTCCTAATACTACACACTGACTTGGAGTCTTAGCTTAATGATCCCGCACCGGTGGGAGCTCCAACACTCTCCTAAGTAGCTCCCCCGACGAGCCCTGATCACCAACAGGTGTGTGGCAGGAACTTCAGGTGTGGCCAGTCCTCCTGCAGGGCCACACCCATCAGGCCTGCATGTGGCTGTTCTCCATCCTCCAGCCACACATGTACACACCCTGCCTCTACATATGAGTGGAACACCGAACACAGCATAGTGCAGAAAAACACACATCCCCAAATAACAACAACAACACTAATAATAATAATAATAATAATAATAATAATAATAATAATAATAATTCCATCCTGCTCACGGACCCCCGAGTCCTCCAGAGCCGGTCCGTGACATTTCTATTTCTTTGCTTCTGGTGTTTTGCAAAATTGTGCATAATGACCAAAAGGAAATAAGAGTTAGTTGTTATTTGTTTGTTAGAATTTGTCTGTTTTGTCTGTATTGAGAACGTGCACATGAGGCTGGATGACTCACGAACTCTGATTAAATCTACCTGTGTGTACGTTAAATTTGTGTGAAAAAAGTGCAGGAATTCAGGAAATAAATCAGTATAGCTGTAGTGGAGGCATGTAGTCTCAGACTCTTAATATTTTAAAGATTTTTTTCTCACAGTGCCTCTCACATAATAATATTGGCATCAGTGAATTTCGATTTGAGACAGAAAATGGAGAAATAAAACTATTGGCGCTTCACGCTATAAAGTAGACAGACAGAAATGAAGTTCTTAACTGTTTGAAAGAAATGCGTCTCCTCTTTGTCAAACAGAATTGTTGTGTATGGACAGACCATGCTGAACGCCATCGTCCCCAACTCGGCCAAGTCCTTCAACTTCCAGCAGGAGTTTGACCTGACCGATGAGGAGGTGAGTTTTTTCTAAGCTCAAGATACAAATGATTTGACAGGTTTTAGCATTTTAAAGGACACCATGAGTGTTGTCATTCAACTTTTCAAGGCCCTGGGCATCAGTGACCATTACCCTGTGGAGGTGGAGCTGAAGACCAAAGATGCGTCTGGGGAAGGACAATCTAAGAAAAAAGGTTATTATTTTTTATCTCTGACTCTTACTGTATTACTCTTACTATATATTTGACAGCAGGAATGGAGATTGATAAGAATTTAGTGATTCTGATGCATTTATCGATATCATTGAGTTCTCATTGGCTCCGCTTTAAGGGTCACCACCGTCTCTAAATGAATATATTTGTGCAAATTAATTACATGCTGTGTGGTCAAAGGTTACATGCTGACCTCAATGCTATGATCAGCATTGAGGTCATAACTCAAAAGAGTAACATATTACACATATTACACAGAACACTCTTATTAAAAGTAATGCAGTACATTACTACCATTACTTCCAGGAGAAACTAAGTACTTATACTACACATTACATTTCTTTTTCTCTATAAAATTTTTCAAAGTTATAATGAATACAGTGGGATGCAAAAGTTTGTGCAACCTTGTTAATAGTCATTATTTCCTGTATAAATCGTTGGTTGTTACAATAAAAAATGTCAGTTAAATATATCATACAGGAGACACACAGTGATATTTGAGAAGTGGTAAGCTCACTGTAACAGGATAAACCCGAGGCTACAATCCCACGAACCAGCATAAATCCCTATCCTAATGAGGACACACATACAGTGCTGGTATTTGGTTTTTAGGTATGAACACAAAGCCTGCAACACAAAGCAAAGATGAAAACCAGACCAAAGACACTTTAAAACAATCGCCACGTGAATCTACTGTAGAAACATGAACCAGGAGAAATGGAAGCTACATCCTGACTACTCATCACTGCTTTTGTTACCTGTGGCAGATCAGGGACTGGCTATTGGGCTGGGATCGGCATTCAGTCAGCTTTAACATCACTCTATTGAACACTTTTTATGATTTTCAAACTCACCCCAACCGGTCGCAGCAGATGGCCCCGCCCCTCCCTGAGCCTGGTTCTGTCGGAGGTTTCTTCCTGTTAAAAGGGAGTTTTTCCTTCCCACTGTCGCCAAAGTGCTTGCTCATAGGGGGTCATATGATTGTTGGGTTTTTCTCTGTATGTATTATTGTAGGGTCTACCTTACAATATAAAGCACCTTGAAGTGACTGTTGTTGTGATTTGACCCTGTATAAATAAAACTGAATTAAGGAAATAAATTTCTAAAGGTGCTATTGACATAAAATTCTCACCAGATGTCAGTAACAGCCCATCCAATGCACACATTCCATTAAATGAAAGTATACATGTCCATAATTTATGTCTAATAATGACACGGGGAAAATGTTTTCAACATGCTCACTGAATTTTATTTCATGCTTTGAACAAAACCCTTTGTTGGTGATGACGGCATCAAGATGCCTACTGCACGGAGAAACTAGTCACATGCATTGGGTGCAGGTGTGATTTTGTCCCATTCTTTCAGACACCCAGTCTTCAAATCCTGAACTGGAACCTTCAGTGGTTTAGAAATTCTTCAGTAACCAGTGTTATCAGTATGTTTTGCAACAACAAGGCTGCAAAGGTGTAGAGTTTGCTCATTGGCTTCATCCTTCATGAGATGTTTCCTGTGTGACACCTTAGTAATGAAACATGGTTCTATAAGCCGTCAGTTGAGACTAAACCAGCTGATTTTAATTTGCACTAAATGGCTTTTTTTTTTTCATTCCTGTCCCGTTTGGCGCTGCAGTAATCAGAATTATTGTCTGAAGGCCAATTAAAATGCAAAACAAGTAGATCATTGTGGCTTTGCCATACTGGTCCACTTGATTGAGCTTTATTATTTATTTATTTTTTTACTTTTACAACTTATTACAATTGGAACAGACAGGGCTAGGGGATAGAAAAGGGAAAGATATAGACAAGTTCAAGAAAAGGGGAGGGAAAGAAAAACAGCAGGGAAGAAGGACAGTAAGAAAACTAAAAGCGTCTTTTTGCCTGTTCCTTTGTTCATGTGTTCAATACCTTTTCGTTTGTCATTTCTCTTTATTACACATAACTTTAATGGGTTGTTACTGACATCTGGTGAGAATTTCATGACAACAGCACGTTTAGAAATATATTAACTTAGAAAATTGCTGAAATGTGAAGTACTTATTTTACCCATTGTATTTCCTCTTTCTAATATTAACAACAGGACAACAGGATCAAAAAAGAAAGCAAGGACAAGCATCCAACATGCCAACCAAGAGAGGACGTCGGGCTGTTTAGTGTTAAACTTTAACAATCTTGCTATTAATTTTTAAAATTTGTGTTACTCCAGTTAATTTTTAAACTCAGTTTTTCTTCGGATTTAACAGAAAACCACATCAGGTGGTTCAACGTGATAAAAAATAACTGTTTGTCTTCTTTACTGAATTTACTGTGGAAAAGACAAATGAGTGTAAAGATATTAGTACTACATGGAAATTAGGTTAGACTATGTAAGAAATAATTGTTGTTTTATTATATGTTTTCCGGACCTTCCATGGTAAACATGAACTTATTTTGGTTTCTCTTGGTCACTGTATAGAAAGCATACCCCACAGGGTCTACCTTGGGCTATTTTGCTATTTAGAGTGGGAATGTATGTATAAATATTTTACTTCTGAGCTAAGGGCATTAGCAGGAAATAAAATGTATTAACA